CGTGTAAATTCTGCTACTCGCAGGAAGATCTTCAAAACGTGACTCATCAGACATATTGTCCGATAATCACCGCATGTCTTTGGAAAATGTTTCTTAGGTATTGTGACAAATGTCGACTTTAACCAATCAGTTGGTAATATCCCAGTGTCATAAATTCTGTTAAAGAGATTAATTCTGTAATTCCACTTTCTCCCAAAAACTTTAGTATTTCAGCACTTACATCATCGGGGCCAAGTGCTTTTCCATTTTTTGCCGTTTGTATTGAACGTCTTACCTCACTTTCTGATATAGATGGACCTGATATAGCAATCGGTGTATAGTGTTCTACTCTCTCATCTTCAAATAATTCAGAAATGTAGTTTTCCCATTCTTTTAACTTTTCATATATGTCTAATATTCTGTGTCCGTTTCTGTGTTCTACACTTTGGGATACTTGTTTCCGTTTATTTCCAGCGACCTCTTTTAATTTCTTGTGCAGATGAAATGTATCGTGTTTCTTTTCCTATTGTTCAATTTCATTACACTCTTTACTATGAAATTGTGTTTCCGCGTGTCTTATCTTCTGCCTGATTATTGCGTGGATCCTCTTGTATTCGCTTTTATATTTATTTCTGACTTCTCTTCTTTGATCCATAAGTCTCAGTATTTCTTCTGTCATCCACCCTTGTTTTTTTCTTGCTTTTAGCGCACTCAATTTTGTTTCTTGAACAGTCTTTAAGATGTCTTTAATTCTCGTCCAGTTTTCCTCAGTACTTTCTTCTTTGCTTGATGTTAACTTCATTTTTTGTTCTAATATACTAGTTATTTCTTGTTTTACAGCATCATTTAGCGTCGTTTCTCTATCAATACTAACTGTTTGCTTATTCGTTCTTGCAACTCTTTTTAATCTCAGTCTTATTTTTCCTACTAATATATGGTGATCTGTTGGTGCATCTGCGCCTGGATATGTTTTTACTGCTAATACTGAATTTCTGTATCTCTTATTTATGCATATGAAGTCTATTTGGTTACGAACAACTCGTTTAGGTGTATCTGCTGGTGATTTCCAGGTGTAAAGACGACGTTTTGGAAGTTTGAAAATTGTGTTCGTTATTACTAATTGCTTTTCTACGCAAAAATATGCCAACATATCTCCTCTTTCATTTCGTATTCCCAGACCATACTTCCCTATGATATTTTCCTGTTCACCTTCACCAATCTTTGCATTAAAATCTCCCATGATAATATTGAGATCGTGTTTCTTTGTAGGTGCTAATACTTTTTCTAAATCTAATTCTAATGATAGAATTTTTCAATTTCTTCTTGTTCATAGTCTTGTGTGGGTGCATATACTTGTAATATGTTCACATTGATTGTTGTTGATTGTATTTGTATCATCAGTATCCTGTCTGAGAATAGGACGACGTTTTTTACAGCTTCATCTGTTTCCTTCGACACAATTATTGCTACACCATTTTTGGGTTTTGAGCTGTCTTCTCCTGAATAGTATACAATGTGATCATCTACAGTTACTTTTCCAGGCCGCGGCCACCTCATTTCACTTATTCCAAGGATACTTATATTTAGATGCTTCATTTCTTTAATGGTGTTGTGAATTTTTACTGGCTCGTACTTGCTTCTTACATTCCATGTACCTATTTTTCTTTCTTTAGAAAATGTGTTCATGTTTCTAGCTGACCGGGAGATTCTTAGCACCCCTGCTCCATTTAAGGAGCGCCCGTACTCGGGGCCGTTGTACTTATCAGCCATTTCCATGATTGTTTCTTGGGAAAATTAGGCTCTAGGTGGTTTCCCGTTGCCTTCCTAGAGTGTGTAATAGAAGGAAATATAGTGATCCGTCTGCCCTCGGAAACCTAATAGCCATTCGGGGTCGAAAGAAACAAGAGTTAGCCAAGAGAGGCTGATAGGAAAGATTAAAGACATTTCACTCACGACAAGTTGAAAAAGAGTGAAATGTGAAGGCCCTTATGATGAGCCAGGTGCGTTTCATAAGCCTAGGAGTATTAATACACTTTGTGTTCCCGCTCATACCTCGGGGTATTGACTACAGACTGTATGGCTCGTCCAGCATGCCATAGCATGGAGGGAAGGGCGCATGCCATTTTTTTACAATGTAGGCACCCCAACTCCACGGTCTGACGTTACATCATTACTTTCTTTTAATAATATCCTATCAACTCTTATTCCTTCTTCCATCTCATCTTTCTGCATAAACGTAATTATTTGCCCGTCCAAAGTTACAATTTTTTCTTCAAAATCTATCTTTACTTTCTTCTTTTCCAATTCGTCATTTCCCATTAATATATCAACACATAAATCCTTGACAACAAATCCTTGCATATTAATTTCTTTATTAAGAATATTAATTTTAAAATTGTCTAGTTTATTAATTTCACCCAACTTCTTATTGCTTGCACCAACAATTTTAATTTTTGGAATCTTTATTATATCTGATAGTTTTAATGTATTAAAAATAAAATTTTCCGAGACTAAAGTACTTTCTGAACCAGTATCTATCATAATCTTAATCATTTTATTTTTGGCCATAACGTTTATATAAATTAAATTAATAGATTCAATACTTTTATCTTCATCTAAAGAAATAAATTCAGAAGGTTTTTCATAATGGCAATGGCAGAACTTGTAATTCAGAAAGTTTACTGCACAAAATTTGGATTGTTAGAATTGTCAGATTGTGTCTGACCACTTGGATCTAATGTCCTGTGTCTTTCACTACTATGACTTCTACTCATATTTTCTTGCCTTGTACTATTTCGTTCACTATCTTCGCAGCTTCTATTCCTTCGTATACAATTTACCTGTCTGTTGTAATTAGGTCGTTCTGTATTTTTCCTATTGTTAAAATCTTGTCTATAATAATTAGTATTGTTATTAAAATTTTGCAAATTATTACCATATCTATTATTATTATATGATTGTCTATATTGTTGATTATTATTCATCCTTATATTATTGTTATCACTATTACTTGTCATATTACCTCTTTGTAATCTTTGAATAAAATTAATAAATCTATCTATTGTTTGAACATTTTGTACAGTTACTGTTTGCACAACATCGGCATCAAAATGTCTAGATACATGTAAGACTGTTTCATCCTCTCTAAGTGGTGGTTCTAAATATTTTGCAACAGTTATCAGTTTTAATGCATAATCTACCATATTTGATCTTAAATTGTGATTATACTTTCCAAAATTAGAACTTCCCTAAATTTAGCTTGCTCTAATTCACCCCAACAATAATTTAAAAATTTATTTTCAAATGTTTGAAAATTATCCAAATCATTTTCAATACTGGCAAACCAAGTTACCGCATTGTCACTTAGTGTCATTCTAATATAATCTTTAATATCGTTAATATTATTCACTAATCTTAATTTATGTTTTAAACTATTTATGTATACTCTAGGATGCAAATTTTTTATATTACCAGAGAATTTAATAGCAGTCTCATGTGTTAAATTTAAGTAACGTACATTAAATAATCGTATTTAAGTAATAATTAGTGCATGTAGTCCAGAAGTCAAGTCGGACTGGAGCCAATGGAATTGCCTAGTACTAAAAGATGATCTTCTGTATAGAACCTTTAAGGACGATGGTGGTACAGAATGTAAGCTTCAGTTGATTGTACCTAAAAGTAAAGTGTCAGAACTGCGTCAGTTGCATGATGGTGCAGCAAGTGGACACTTTGGTATTACGAAGACTGCAAAAGGTTCGAGAATGGTTCAATTGGGTGAACTGTAAAGGTGATGTAAGAAGATGGTGCCGGAAATGTGAACTGTGTGCAACCAGTAATGGTACAGTTGGTAAAAAAGGGCACCCATGAAACAGTACAATGTTGGTAGACCTATGAAAATAGTAGCAATCGACATTGCAGGCCCATTTCCAGAAACAGATGATACGATACCAAATCAAGAAGCTGCTATCGTTGCAGAGGCACTTGTTAAAGAATTATTTAGCCCATTTGGTGTTCCCTTGGAGATTCACTCCGACCAAGGGCGAAACTTCTGAGTCAACCCTCGTCCAAAACGTTTATAAATTGTTTGGTGTCAATAAGATCAAAACGACACCCCTGCATCCTCAAACAAATGGAATGGTCGATAGGATTAATCGAACGATGGGTAAACACCTGTCCAAAGTTGTATCTGAACATCAAAGAAATTGGGACTAGCACATTCATTTATTCCTAATGGCCTACCAAGGAAGGCCTCAGAGTCAACTCCAACGGGGCAGACCTTCACAGCGATGGGCAAAAATTACATTACGAAAAAGCTTGTAGCAGATTGTCCGAGCTACTGAAGCTTGAGCTACTCTTGAACCACAACACATCTGCCAAAATGTTAATGACTATGATGAAGATGTAGTTATTAGAAAATTACATCCAAAAGTACTCCATGTTGATTTGGTATGTTATTTGATTGCCTCAAAATCAAAATGTTTCGGTATGAGAAACATTCGCATAGTAGCTTTGCTAGATAGTTTTGTGGGCAGTCCACGAGCAAGCCCTTTTCATTTTAGTAAGCCCAAGAAGCCAGTGGTAAATTATTGTAGTCACCAAATAAATATACAGACACATCTGACCTATCGTTTTTAATAGTTTCAACAACCGAGCAATAACTAACAAAAATATCTTCTGATGGTAGGAATGACAATTAAGATTTGATTTCACGTATAGTGCCTCTACAATTCGCTTATAGGTATTTCGTCCTTGCAGGACAGAGCGGGTACATAGGAACCTCTTCCTACTCTAGGTAGGAAAAACACAGTAACGACAATCGTTCTTTACTCGTAATTTTAATAATAGAACTTATCACATACTATTAAAATGCATTAATTCTCTTGATCCCATAATATCAAAAGTTTATTTTTCGTAAATAATTCATCTTCAAATTTGGTTTTCCCATTATTTAAATAAAACCTAAATTAAATGTAAAATAGTAAAAATGCTTAATAACAAAAGAAAATAGAAAAATATTTTACCTTGCTTGAATCTTTAGTTTTTTTGGTCTTAGTTCCCTTAGCATACTTATTAACTTCATAAACAACAAAACACAACTTAGCATTTCTTGGTATATTGCACACATCTATGTCAAAGACTAGTTCAGTATCAATTGAACACTCGTATTTATCATCTATAGAACAGTCCAAAGTTTTTTTCGGTTGGCATAAAGATTTTCCGCCGTGAAAGAGGCCTGCTTGAATGCCTATCTGAAAGTAAAAGTAAGTGTTATGCAAATTTATCCATTTGTTATATATAAAAACAAAATAAAAAGAATAATAACCACATATATGAAATATGAGCACTCTAAAACAAGTAATTAAAACACTTCAACCTTTCGAACGCAGCAATATCGTACAGTGTGTACTATGTATGGGAAACTATCCCGACAAAACTATAAGGGCTGTAGCATTTAAATTAAAAAATTCTCAAAGAGAAGAAAATTGATGTTATGATGGTATATGAAGCTCATCTAATAGAAAATAATTATATAAAATTCCAAAATACACTGTTTACTATATACAACATCCGAATAACAAAGAACACGGTGGCACAGCTATTATTAACAAATTTAATATCTCACATGAGTTAGATAAGTTCAGTGAAAAATACTTACCATTAAATATAGTCGTCATTAAAGACTGGTTAGAAAATCTTACCCCGTGTTCTGTCTACGGTTGTCTTGGTCAGTCAATTAACAAAAACAACTTTAATGCCTATTTTAGTTCACTTGGATAGGAGAAGACCCAGAAATTTTGTCAACGATCAAACGAAGAAAACTCGAATATTTGGGTCAACTGATGAGAAGACATAAATACGCATTACTTCAAAACATAATGCTACAAGGAAAAATAGAAGGAAAACAGAACCCAGGCCGTAGAAGAATGTTATGGTTGCGTAATTTGAGAGAGTGGTTTGGCTGTACCACTAATCTTTAGGTCGGCTGTAAACAAGGTCAGGATAGCCTTGATGTTTTCCAATCTCCGATAGAAGTGGCACAAGAAGAAGAAAAAGTTCACTTGGACACAAGTTCATAGCAGGGGACTTTAACTGCAAACAACACCAATGGGCTCTAGATTAATTACAACACACACACACACACACACACACATATATATATATATATATATATATATATATATATATAAATATATATATATATATATATAATATATATATATATATATATATAAATATATATATATATATATATATATATATATATATATATATATATATATATTATATATAAATATAAACTAAAGTTTTATTTTGAGGATGCAGTCATTTAAGTAGGCAGGATAAGTAAAACTCTTTGTTCTTAAAATCAAGCTTTCGCAAAATTTATTTGCTTCAGCAGGATATGCTAAAATATGTTATGGTAAATACAATGAAATTAGAATTAAGAAAAACATTGTATAAAACTATATAAAAACTTACAACATGAGGTTAAACCATTAAATTATTAAATTCACAAAACATTATTAATTTTTCTAAATATATTTTTATGCAAGTACAATATTTTTAATTTTGAATATTTATGACATTGATTAATAATGATGTTTGATATATGTCAGATATATATATATAGTTTTATACAATGTTTTTCTTAATTCTAATTTCATTGTATTTACCATAACATATTTTAGCATATCCTGATGAAGCAAATAATTTTGCGAAAGCTTGATTTAAGAACAAAGAGTTTTACTTATCCTGCCCTACTTAAATGACTGCATCCTCAAAATAAAACTTTAGTTTACATAACGTGTCAGTCAATAATACCTAACTACTTTATATATATATAATATATATATATATATATATATAAATATATAAATATAATATATATATATATATATATATATATATATATATATATAAATATATATATATATATATATATATATATATATATATATATATATATATACAGTAGACTCCCGATTATCCGAGTCTAGGTTATCCGAGCCCCTCGGTTAACTGTGGCAAAATTTTGCCTTGGTTTTACCTTTATCGATGGTCAGAAGTTATATCGGTAGCTCTTATATGGGCAATCAATTGAAAATTTTGGATTATTGATAAGAAGAGAATTATGTATAAGGTATGCTTTAGGTCAAGCTGATGTGAAAGAGATTTTATGCGCAGAAATTTCTGTGTCGTGTTTTGTCTACAACTTCCTGTTCCTTTCTATGTTAATCAATGTGAATTGAACTACCGATTTGTTTGCTGTTGTTCAAATTAAGTAACTGTAACTGTTTTGTGAATTTATTCCAGTTATTAGTTATATTTGCGGCGAAAAACTGTGTGCCGACTCAGCTGAAATGGAAGATTTTATTTTTACAAGACATTATCCTTAAAGATGGACTAACTTCAGACCAAATATTTAACTGTGATGAGACAGGCCTTAACTTTAAAATGCTTGCATCAAAAACACTAGCTGCTAAAAATAAAGGGACTGCACCAGGTTACAAAAAAAGCAAAGAGAAAGTCACCAGAGGAAAATCCAGAAATCCAAGGGTATTCAAAAATGTCAAAATAGGTTGCTTACCCAACCACCGTAAGGCATGGATAAACGGTAACACTTTTAAGGATTGGTTTTTTAATGACTTCGTGCCAGTCATTGATGCCTACCTAATAAACAAAAATCTGCCCCGGAAAGCTTTGTTGTTGTTGGACAAAGCACGATCCCACCCATATGCGAGGGAATTGATTAGTGGTGACATATAAGCTGTGTTCTTTCCACCCCATGTGACATCTCTCATCCAGCCCCTAGACCAAAGCGTTATATAAGCAATGAAGAGGAATTATCGGCGGAAGCTTCTTCAGGTACTGCTAACTAAACTGGATGAAGGGTTGACTGTAATTAAGGCATTGAAGAAGATCACGGGTAAAGATGTTTGCTATTGGATTGCATCTGCTTGGGACGACGTAAAAATGTCCACTACTCAGAAGTCGTGGAAAAAATTTATTTAAGATAGACAACAAAACACAAGACGTTCAAAATGAAACTGATGACTGTGAAATTGATTCTATAGCCCACCTAGCCAATCAATTACCAGTAGAACAAACAATCGTAAACCAAGGCATCATCGCTGGGATGAATATAGATGAAGAAATGGAACTGACAGATGATGCAATTGCCAATCTAGTTCTAAACGTCACCCATGAAGAAGAAGAAGAAGAAGAAGATACAGATGGGATAACTCAAAAGATTTCTCATTCCGAAGGATTTAAGTCCCTTGAAGCAGCTCTCGCATACATTGAGCAACAAGAAGAATCAACACCATTATACGTCCTTCATTTTCAATGTTGGCGCAACATCGCCGCCCCAAAAAGAGGAATGAAGTTGAAACAAAAATCAAAGACTTTTTTAAACAGTAACATTTGTGAATTATTTTTTTTTGTCTTTTATACTACTTTTATATTAGTTTTTAGTTATTAAAATAAACACATTAATCATTATTTACATAGGTACACATTTTTCTATTAGTATAATCAATCTTAGTGTTAACCGAGTTCTTTCGGTATCCGAGGTAGTCACGGTCCCAATTACCTCGGATAATCGCGAGTCTACTGTGTATATATATAATATATATATATATATATATATATATATATATATATATATATATATAATACAGTTTATTAGGGTTACAGTCAGAATATTGGCCGGGATGTTCAAAAAAACACTCTTGACTTTTGGTCTAGCTTTCGGAATGGTTTTATTCCTTTTTCAAGACACTGTAATAAGACAAATATGTAATTATTTAAAAAATATCACAATTCTTCAGTGTAACTTACTAGTCGTTGAGATTATTTACAAAAGCATTGACACTCAACATTTATAACACACATTAAAATATAAAATCATGGACAAAACACATTATAAAATTTTTAAAATTTAGGGTAAAGATAGTAAACCGTAGTTTTTGGCATGTTTTACTGGTATGCATAGAGAATGGAAGGTAAAAACACTGTAATTAACATGTAATTAAGTGTACTTGACGTTATATTTCTTTTCAAGAAATACTAGACTCCCATCTTAGGTGGTTATACTTTTTTAAACCTCTCTTAATGGTATGTAACATATTATACATACAGGTGTAATTTATGTACAGTTAAATATTTATTTTATTTTTCTTCTAGTACATAAGTTGCTTAGTTTATCTAAAGTCAGTTTAGTTTAGCTAAAGCTAGACAAAAAGTCAAAAGAGTGTTTTTTTGAACATCCCGGCCAATATTCTGACTGCAACCCTAATAAACTGTATTGTTATAATATATACATAATATATATATATATATATATATATATATATTATATATATATATATATATATATATATATATATATATATATATATATATATATAATATATATTATATATATATATATATATATATATATATATATATATATATATATATATATATATATATATATATATATTATTGTGATATTCGAAGTCTTAGTGCGCCAGGCAATTAATTAGCTAATTAATTAATTAATTAAAGTTATATTCGTGCTTCAATATCTATGCTTTACATGTGAAAGGTAAGGTCCAAAGAATACCGGAATAATAAAAAAACATATATGATATAACATTATATATTGAAATAAAATAATGAAATAAAATTCACACTCAAATGTTTTCAATAAACAATATCTCATATAATGATTCTCAAAATTTTGTTCTACGTACGTGAACCTTCAAAATTAATGGTACAAACAATATTAGTTAAAATCTCAAAATCCCAATTATTATTCTAAATCTAATAATCAAAATATTTATATTTTTCTAAAGTAATTGTAAAAATTGTGTTATCAATAAACTTGAAAACCAACTTACTATCTTTTTTTTTTCGTCAAAACTAACTAAAGTCTCATTCCCAAACCAACCATCCCACCTTTTTCAATATCAACCAATCAAAACGCGTCATACATCTAACATTTCTTCATTTCGATAACACAAACAAATTTTTAGCTACAATTATAAAATTTCCGAACATTATTTACAAACTAATCTTTTTCTACCAATTCTTATGAACTAACAAAAACATATATTTCTAAAATCTATTCTATTGTCCTAATTACTGCACAAATTTATTTGGAAAACCCTCTTCCATTGTCTAGGATTTCACTTAAGCTTAGTCACGTCACTCAAATATATTTTAACAAAGAAAATAATTTATGCATATCTTACGTTCTGTT